TTTAGCCCCCGTCGGCGTTGTTCAGTTCGGCAGCTCTATCGTTTTATGTAATCAATTTTTCTGCGAATCAATTCCTTGAACCCCTACAAAACTTGAAGTTAGAGTCAGGCGAATCTATGGTATCCTTCACTGCCGTTTTACTCTCCATTCCGCAGCATCTACTCATTGACATTTTGAAGCAACCACTGGTTGAACCTTATGACTAGAAGCAAGCCTCTCAAATCCGAAAATATATTCGAGCTTCCAAAATACCTACTTCATGTTTTTTGGACAAGTATACGAATTCATCAAAGGCGCTCCACCAGGTCGTATTAGAGAGGAAGTCCTGCAATGTGTAGAACACATGATGTTTAAAACGTATCCACCGGAGGTAGCTAACTGCGTTTAAGGCCATAGGGGATTTATGCACACGCCGAATTGTTAGAATAATTTACTTTGGCAAAGATTACCTAAAATTTAATTGCTTACGACTTACTTCCCCTCAAGAATAAATGGATTCTGTTTATTTTTAACGTCAAATTATAACGCATATAGTACAGCCCCTTCGAATAATCCGTCATTGTGTGACTATTCTAACAACCTACCGTATTATTTTGTGAAAACCCAAACACTCATTGAATCAATATTCGGTAAAACTTATTCCAAAACTTTCTCAATAACAGTATGTGGGCTTTCACACGAAACAATAACATAAACTTTGAAATCTATTGATGATTATAAAAAATTGCTGATGATGAGTTGAAGGGGTAATTGCAGTGCATAATCTCAGGATACGTTAGTCAGAAGAGAATGATGGCTTTTGAATGAACTTTCTTCCGGCCTATAGGGGAACGAAAAATCCTCAGAAAGTGCTAAGTAAGAAGCATTGGTGTTTCACAATTGTTTTCGATGACGTTATAAATGTAAAATGTTTAGTCAAAGAAGAAAATTATTATCTTTTCTACTCACTTGGTAGAAAAGTACATATTCACCCTTTGATGACTCTTGACGATGGTTAACGCAACTCATTCGTCTTCTCTGCCTTGGAGCGTATTCTTGAGCCCCGCCAACGGCCGCACAGCAGTTAGCAGTTTAGGCAGATGAGCTCAATGGTTAGAGCATTGAGCATCTGATCAAAAGGTGGTGGGTTCGAGCATCAAGTGGTGCGGTCGCCTGGCTGACGATGGCTAATGAACCATAAATGGTCATTTAAGTCTCCCTTATATTTAATGCCAACGCACATCTGCCACTACAGACTGGCAAAGTGGCCGTGTCGACGGCTCACATTTTGACCGCTGATTTGGACACCACAGTCTACTCGTGAACACAATGCGTGGAGAAACTTGCAGGGGTAAGCCTCTTGCCAAACGGCGTCATGGCATCTTTTGATGTCACATCCCATTCTGTATTTACTTCACGGGATCTGGCAATCGAGAACATCCAATTACTCCTATGAGACAAATACCGTGAAACGCAGGATCGCCTCAGACACGTCCAGATACCCCTAACGGAACCATAAACCAGCAATTGAAGGGTTCTGGTTCGTCAATTTCCGAACTTATGCCCGAGGCAGCCTTGCAACGGTCGGAGTCGCTGGTTTCCGGAGACCACGGACCGAAGTTCTCGGCTCGGTATGTGGACGACAGCTTCGTCGTCATCGAGCGGGATCAGGTGCTGACATTCGAGGAATGCTTAAACGCCATCTTCTCGGTCGTTTAATTTGAGATGGAGGAAGTAGAAAGCAACCAGGTAGCCTCTCTGGATGACCTCGTTTGCAGCAACAAACTGTGGTGGCCTCAGATCTAAAGCAATTAGGAGGGCAACCAGCACTATGCAAGTCCTGATCTCCAACAGCAACCACCCAATCAGTCACAAATGCAGCTGCGTAAGAGCGCTATACTCGCGCGTTGAGACACGGCAGCGAAGTGGAAGACAAAGTTGCTGAATTACAATATATTCGACGGGTTTTGAGATCGCATGGTTACCCGTGAAATTTTGTCAAGCAGTGCGTACGTAGATGATACAAGCAAAAATTCAACCGACCCAGACGTTTGGCGAGATTCTCCATACGTGAAGAATGTATCGAAAACATTAAGCCGCCTTCTCACTCCACTTGGATTCGGAGTTCCGCACAGGCCAGAAACAACCATCGGGTGCCGGGTCATGAGAATGAAAAACCCACTGCCACAACTGGAAAACGATGGAGCCAGTTATCAAATCTGGTGCATTTGTGGATAAAGAAACTACATCGGAGAACCCGGGAGATTACTCCAAAGGCGAATGGCCGAGCACACAGCAGCAGTTAGGAGAAAAGACGCTAAGTCTTAGGTTGCAGCCCTCTCGACGGAACTCGGACATATACTAAAGTTTAACAAAGCCGAAATCCTCGTAAGGGGTGACAACTGCGTAAGCCG